CGGAAGGGGTGCAGGCCCCGCCCTCACCAGCCCCTCCCCGCAGTGGCAGCCTGGGCCGGTCTGACAGTGCCACCAAGATGAGCGCCAAGGACCTGTTTGGTGAGTGAGGGTTGAGGACGGGAGGGTCACCCCCACCCCCTCGGGCTGTGCTGGGCCCCCACCAGGGGAGGTGCAGGTCAGCCCTGGGCACCCAGGGAGGCTCTGGGACCCCAATCAACCAGCCACTCAGGCCCCTCCGCGAAGCTCCGGGCCCAGTCCCCCCCCTCCAGGTAAGGGGAGAGGCCTTTACTAATAATTCAGGGCCATCAATATTGATTCGGCAGAGCTCCTGCTGCAACCCGATCGGAGGGGACTGGGTGCCAGGTGTCTGCTGCAGGAGGGCCTGGCCACCCCCAGGCCTGCCCCCTCCCCCAGCCCTGCCCCACACGCATGGGCTCATCTATGGGTGTGGACAGGGTGCCCAGTCTGGAGAGCCAGGAGCCCTGGGAGGGCAGGGAGATGTTAGCTGGCAGCAGGGGGGGCAGCCTCCTGCACCCCCACCACCGGGACAGACCCCAGTCCCAGGTGCCATCACCGCCTGAGCAGGTCGGCCTGGGGATGGAGGGAGGGCCGCCTTCTGCCAGGACCTGCGTCTTTCCTGGCGGCCACCACCTCCACTCCGCCCTCCCTGTGGCCCAGCCCGCGGGTCCAGCCACTTGGCCAGGGGCCCCCGGGGCCGCCTGTGGGGTGAGTGACTGGCGTCTCCCCGTTCAGAGCAGAGGAAGAAGTACTCCAACTCCAACGTCATCATGCACGAGACCTCCCAGTACCACGTGCAGGTGAGGCGGCCCCTCCGGCTCCAGGGTCCCGAGCAGGGAAGCCGAGGCCCAGGGAGAAGTGGTCGGCCCAGCTTCTGACATCGCATCGGGACCAGAGGCAGGGACGGCCCACACCCGCCCTGGCTCAGCCACAGTGGGGGGCCTCCCTCACAGTCTGGGGGGCGCAGGGAGCCCTGCATCTGTGCTGGGGGGAGAAGGTACTAGTGGCCAACACAGCACAGGTGAGGCCAAGGCCTGGTGCCATCTGGGAAGCTCAGGTGGGAAGACCCGGTGGGAAGGAAATTGTCACCCTGGCCCCCAAAACGATGATGCGAACTGAGGGAGAAGCTGGGACAGAGGCGCCCGTAGGAGCCTGTGGGGCCTGGCTCTGACCCGGTGTCAGGGAGGGCCGGCTCGGTCCACTCTCCCGCCAGCTGCCCGCACTTGCTCCTGGGTCCGTTTCATTCACACTCGGAACTCAGGGAACATGTTCTCTACATGACCTTCCTGCTCCTGGCGGCTGGCCACATTCCTGGTTCCTGGTCGTCGTCCAAGCCCGCAGAACAGCAGGGCAGGCACGGCTGAGGGGGGGGGGGGACCTGACCAGGAAGGCATGTACTTCCCTCCCCGCCCACAGAGGTCAGGCAGGTCACTGCTTTCTGAGCCTCAGTTTCCTCATCCATACAATGGGTCCACGGAGACGCTGGGAGTTCCTGTGGCTCTTGAACTGGGCCGTGTTGGGCGACCCGCCCTCCCCGCCATCCTGGGCAGGCTGGTGACCGCTGCTGACTCAGTGCCCAAGGTCGGGGCAGGGAGGGGGAGCGGGTCGGCTCGGCCACCAGGCCTCCCAGCCCAACTCCTGGACTTTGGTCCCAGCTGGCCTGTGAGGGACCGTAGCCCGGGGCACCTCGCCTGCCCTCCCTGCAGCCAGCATGGCTGGGCATGGGCAGGGTTTGCCTGCTCCTCCCAGACGAGGAAACTGAGGCACAGAGAGAGGGTGAGAGGTGGGGGCTGGCGCTGAGAGGCCCCTGCAGCAGGTGTTTCTGTTTGTTTGTTTGTTTGCTGACTTCTCTCTGAATTGGTGTCAGAGAAATTGGTGTTGAGGGCGGGGCTGCAGTTCTGTCATAGACTGTGGGGCCGCCAGGGGAGTGGAGCTGCCTGGGGCTCCATCCCCCCAACACGGCCTCGTGCTGACGCTGTGTCCGTCCCGTCCCCCCGTCCCCCTCGGGCTGCCTGTCCCATCCCGTCACCACCGTTCTGTCTTCCTGACAGTCCCCCGTAAATGAAGTCACACAGCTCGCAGCTCCCTGGTTCTGCTTCGCCAAGTGTTTGAAGAAAATGGGAAGTGGGGGGGAGACTCCTATGGTGGGGGCTGCAGGGATGCCTTGGGCGGCCGCTCTGTCCACCTCGCGGGCACTGCCCCTGGCAGGCG